CTGTTAACAATTGGATGTAGTTATCATCTCTTCTGTGGCCTAAAAATCCACAAATCACTCCCTTGAGAGATTCCCAAGTTTCTTTTTCTTGCCCCTTCAAAACTTCATCAAATGCAGGATCTTTCACAAGTTCATGTATCTATGGTCCAACAAAAATACCCTCTTTTACTTTTGCATCACTTAGTTTTGGAAATTTGTTTCTTAAATACTTAAAAGCCTGTCCATCTTTTTTCCTTTGACAAAATTTTTCATTAAACCCAGCTTAATGTGTATGGATGGAAGAAGTACATCTTTCAGCAACAAAATTTTTTTCACCTTTGTTGAGATTTCTTGCAGGCCAGTCCTTTTGTGTGTAATATGAAATTTTGTCTCTATGTCCCACATACACAAGAAGCAGCAGTATTTGGTATAGCCTAATTGCATTTCTAAAAGTGTGGCAATACTTTTAGGAATACTTTTAGGTCACCACAAATTTTCCATTTGTGTTCGTTGTAATTGAGTTAAGAAGAGTTTTCATATTTAGGTAAATTTCTTTCATGTGAGCTGCATGGCCAATAGGAACTGATAGAAAATGATTTCCATTGTGCAGTAATACAGCTTTCAAGCTTAGCTTTGATGAATCTATGAATAATCTCTATTCACTTGGATCATAGTTCAAATTGAGACAATACATTAATCCATAGATATCAACGCAAACAACAAGGTTAATTTTCTTCTCAAAAAAAACGAAGAAGATTTGTTGCCGTTTTCTGAAATAGGAAACTTTAACATCAGATTGGAGAAGATTCCACTGTTTTAATCTAGACCCTAAAAGTTCTGCCATTTCCAGTGACAAGTCAAGATCTCGAACGAGGTCACTTAATTCTGCTTAACTCCATCTGTGTGGTGCATCATCTGTTGACACAAAATCTGAATCATTTGATGTGGAAGGCTGGCTTTCTTTTCCTTCTTCTATTTCATTTGTGCCTCCATAAATAAAGCATTATAGATAGCCAAGAGGCAAAATAAAAAAAGATAAAAAAATTTTTCCAAAAAATAAAAATTTATACTCTTGAGGATAGAGTTTTGCTTTTATCTTTTGAACTAGAGCTAATATGTAATTTTTAATGTCATTTTCGGATTCAGCAGGTGGAAATACATAAGAAACAACTAATTTTGGTTCAGATACAAAAACACTGTTGGGCAGTGTTATCAGTGTAGCTGCTTGTTCATGATGTTATTATTATTGTTATTGTTGTTTTTATTTTTATAATTATTATTTTCAACACCACTATTACTTATAAGTGTTTATACTGAGCTTTTCATTATATCATGTATATGATATATATATATATATATATATATATATATGTAATGTATACATACGTTTATATATACCCATGTATCACATTTATGTGTGTGTGTGCGTGCGTGCGTGTGTGTGCGTGTATGTGTGTATGTATATGTATATTTGTGTGTATATGTATGTATGTATATGTGTGTATGTGTGTGTATTTGTGTGACAGTATATATATATAGGATGCTTAAATTTTTTGTGTTGTAAGGTTTTTTAATACGTCAAAAAGTTCTGCTACCCGGATTTATAATTATATAAAATATTAATTAATTAATTAATAAACAAATAATAATAATAATAAATTCAAAATAAATCATTTAGAATAAAATTCATATCGAATAGATTTCCAGTAACTAATAGGAATAATTATATTATAATTTATAAATAAAAATAATAAGTAAAAAAGGTTATTATTATTATTATTAATTATTATTATTATTATTATTATTATTACTGTTATTAACTTTTGCATTTTCAAGGTTACTTGCGAGTTACCTTGCATAAACACCCATCAAAAGCTATTAATATTTCGTCTGCCTCTTAAGTTATTGGTCGCTTGGTTGGTTGATTAACTGATTGATAAACATCCGATTGAATAATTGATTGATAGATGGATTGATTGATAGGTAGATTGATTGATTGATAGATAGATTGATTGATTGATAAATAGATAAATAGGTTGATTGATAGATCAAATTGATTGATTGATTGATTGATAAATAGATAGATTGATTGATAGATAGATAGATAAATTGATTGATTGATTGATTGATTGATTGATTGATTGATTGTTGCATTATAGTTAGCTGCTTGAATAAATGGTTGGTTGGCTGTTTGGTTGGTTGATTGATCGATTGAAATTATTCTTAGTAAAAAATTTTTCATTTCAACAACAGGATTGATTGACAGAAAATTCAAAATTTACTGTATGATTTATATATCTTCTACGTGTATCTGCTGCTCATCTGCTCACAAATGTGCCTAAAAGAAAAAATGTAAGACCCTCACATACACGCACACACACACACACAGATGGAGTTGTTAATGAATAGATGTGACACACACACACGCACGCACACACGCACACACACAGAGTTGTTGACGAGTAGGTGTGAAAGGATTGATAAATGGATAAAAGATGGATGAATAGATGAGTGGATGGATCGATAGATATGAACCAAATGAAAGAAGAAACAAAATTGAACAGGGAAAAGTTAAGTTTACTGACGAAACTGCCCGGTTGCATATTCAATTACAATGGCAGTATACCGGAGTCGGCCTATTCCTCAACAACTCCAGATAACTCCATTGAGAGGGCCATATATGACAATGATGAAAATATTCTCAATGAACATGTCAAAGTATCTATCTATTATTATTGCTGCAGTTGTTGTTGTTGTTGTTGAACATTGAATGAATGAATGAATGAATGAATGAATGAATGAATGAATGAATGAATGAATGAATGAACGAATGATCGAAGAGCGACAAACAGTCATTTCCGTAAATAAAATAAAATCAATTTATTCAAATTTTTGTTACAAGGACAGCCGGGAGATAATCAAGATAAACAAATGAATGAATGATGAATGAATGAGTGAGTGAGAGAAAGAGTGAATAAATGAGCAAATAAATAATGAACAAACGAATGAATGAACAAACGAACAAACGAAGCAATATAGTAAAATCTTTTTATTTGAAATAGACGACCAAAGAACGTTGACAATAATGAATAATTTAATGAACTAATGGATAAATAAATTAAGCAGCCATTCCCTTCCTTCCTCACTCCCTCACTCACTCACTCACTCACACTCAATCAATCAATCAATCGACCAACCATTCCAGGACGGTCAAAACATAGACATACATCTAAAGATCGGTGAAATGACTTGCCTGGAGTACGCTTCGCTGAAGGGGTACAAGAACGTCTTAAGCCTCCTACTCAACTGCTCACCTTCGCGGGACATCATCAGGGAATATTTCGCCTTAGAAGGTATGGTAGTTTTATGTGGAGTTCTGGTTTGCCAGTGTGTCTCATCGATGTAGCTATCATTTGTGAGCATTTACTGTGTCTAACATGCAGTCGTAATAGCAGCCATTCATTTCCTGTAACGACAAACATATCTTTTCAGAGAGATTTCTACTCCATAACAATGTTATTTATTCACAAGTAGTTGTTACAACAGTAAGCTTACAACAGGTATTTATTATGAACAACTTCGACTATAAATCATTATAAGGAGAACAACACGTTTATAATAATAATAAAAATAATAATAATAATATGATGATGATGATGAAAATAATAATAATAATACAAACAATAATAGTAACAACAAATTACCCAAATATCCAACTCCGAACCGGAAAATGAATCTGGCAGACGTTGCTGACCGGGCGCAGATGATCTCAAAGAACAAGGACATCTTCTTCGGGGAGAGGGCAGTGATGGTCGAAGTCAACAGGTACATAGCTTGCCTCTACACGACCATCATCTACGACCAGCCGGCCTGTCTCTCCCTCTTCTTGGACATCTTAGGAAGACGAGATCTCTCGGAAAATAGGTTTTTCTCATCCGAGGAGGAAAAGTTCAACGCTCTGAGTCTGGCTCGATATCTAGGTTTTGGACATTTGTCAAATAGGCATATCGATATGGATGTATAAATACTACTGCTACTGCTGCTGTCTCTGCTGCTGCTACTACTACTACTACTACTACTACTACTAATAATAATAATAATAATAATAACAATAATAATAATAATAATAATAATTATTATTATTATTATATGCGTATTAATAATATATTGATGTGGTGAGAATGATATTCAAATATGAATGTTTTAGTTGTAAGAATCAGCGTAACAGTGCTATTATATAGTTGAAACTTTATCCACAGATTGTTTTAACGGCCCAAAATGACATTTAGTAACTAGAGATATAGTATTAAGTAGTATTTATATAGTAATAAGAAGTAATCAGTTGGCAGGCGGCCAAAATTTGAAAAAAATGTTGATAATTTTTAAAATTATACTGGAGTGACAAGTTCCGGTTCCTCCCATGATCCGTCACTGGTGTTAATAAGTTGTAATACATATATTAATATTATTATTAATTAATAATAATATTAATTAATTATTAATTGCTATGTAATATTAATACATAGCAATAAAGTGAGTAATATACTTTAGTCACTTGTCTGTTGTTGAACGATTTAGTTTAGTTCAATCCAATAATGCTACAATGACTGAAATTAATCTTATCTCTGGTCATAATTTTGTGATACTACTACTACTGCTACTACTACTACTACTGCTGCTACTGCTACTACTGCTATTACCTTTACTACTACTACTACTACTAATATTATTATTATATTATTATTATTAATAATAATGTAATATTAGTGAGAATCGTGATATCCATGATGACGACAACTCTCTTACTCCTAGCACCAATACTACAAACTATATAGTCCTAATTAGACTTTAAAATAATAATTATTATTATTACTATTATTAATTCATAATAATAATAATATTATTTTTTTTATTATTCTCAATAAACAGACAGGTCAGAGTGCTTTGAACTGTTGCTACAAAAATGCCAAAAAGGCTAAACTAAAAACTGAGAAAGAACGAAGAAGACACACATTTTTTGCATTTTTATTGAAAACGTTGTTTTACACTTGAAAACACACAAACACACACACACAAAGACATACACACACAAACACACAGACATACACACACACAGACATACACACACACACACACATAAAAAAACTGTTGCCACGTTCATTTTCACAAACTTCATCATCATTATTTTTGTCATTTTATAGTGCTTTATAAATGCATATATATAATATATATATATATATATTACGCTATAAATAAAAGCCTCAGAGAGAGAGAGAGAGAGAGAGATAAATAGACACCAACAAAGAAATAGTAGACACAGATAGAGAGAGAGAGAAGAGAGAGAGAGAGAGACATACGACATACTACATAGGGAGAAAAAAGGAAGAGATAGCAAACAATTTTTTATATTTGCCGTATTTAGAATATTGTTCTTTTTTCGAGATTTTTTTAGCGTGTGATAATATTTCCGAAAGTAATTTTGATAATTTATAATTGAACAAATATGTGGGTGCGTGCGTGTGTGTGTGCGCGCGCGTAACTACTCAGTATGATGTTACCTTTTCAAACTTTGTCTTTTCAACAAACAGTTTACGACGACTTTTATCTGTGACTTTTATAAACAACAACAACAACAACAATAATAATAATAATAATTATTATTATTATTAAAATTAATAATATTAATAATAATAATTATTATTATAATTTATATTTATGAGATGAAAGTTTTGCATGAGTTTTTTCGATTGTTCCCCCATCTGCACTTTGCTAATTTAATCGTTATTTGATTTTATTATTTTTATATTTATTATTATTATTATTATTGTTCTTCTTCTTATTTTTTGCTCTTAAATTTGGCGTGATAAACAAGAGCAATATAATATATAATATTATATATGATATAACATTGATAACCTTCCTAAGTTTATACTTCAATTATCGCTGTTGTAATACACCGTAATAGTAATACACGGAAACATCAAAGAAATCACTGGAAAAAGGGCTTTTACCGTTTGTGGATGCCTAAAAGCTGAACCCGGTAAAGTAATCTTAGAGAAAGAAAAAGTACTTAAAAGATGAGCTGAATTCATTAACGATCTTTTTGATGATATCCGTGGTGAGAAGCCTCCTATTAAAAAAGACGTAGAAGGACCAAAGATACTTAGATCTGAAGTTCGTGCCGCTCTTTCCAAAATGAAATCAAATGAAGCGCCAGGTACAGGCGAGATAGTTGTTGCAGAAATTAAATGCGTTGATGGATTTGGCATTGAAAAAGTGACAGAAATTTTGAATGAGATTTATAACAGCGGCAAATTTCCTGAACATCTTTCCAAGTCATTATTTATTGCATTGTCTAAAAAACCTAATGCAACGGAATTTGAACTACATCGAACAATCAGCTTGATGAGTCATCTTACAAAACTTCTTTTGAGAATTTTGATGATGAGAGTACGAAGCAAAATCAGATCTGAAATTGCAAATGTCCAATTTGGTTTTGTCGAGGATTGTGGCACGAGAAAGGCTACCTTCATACCACGAATGATCAGTGAACAAGTGATTGAAATGAAGAAAGACTTGTTTATTTGTTTTGTCGATTACTCCAAAGCTTTTGATAGCGTGAAACACGTGGAGCTTATGAAAATATTGGAAAATTTTGACATTGATTGAAAAGACACGAGAGTTATCAAAAGCCTCTATTGGAACCAAAGAGCAGCGATGAAAGTTTGTAACAAGATGATATAACTAGTTTTGTCAAAATAAAGGAAGGTGTTAGGAAAGGCTGTGTATTCTCCTCAGACCTGTACAATCTCTATAGTAAGATCATCATGAGAAAGATAGAAGATCTGAAAAGATATATATTATCCAAGCAAATTTCCTGAATCTTGAGCTATTTTAGATAGAAAAGGAAGAACAGTAACTACAATATTCAAGAAATTTTGAATTTTTTTTTATTAAAATCATATAAAATAAATAAAAAGAATTGAATGGAGAAATTTTTTATCTATCTGCCTACAAACCAACCAATCACCAAAGCCTGAGAATTGAATAAAATAACTCAACGCGTACGCACACACACACACACACATACACACAAATGTACTTGTGTCGAATCAATTAATAATAATTTATTGTATATAAGAAGTCACTTAATGACATTAATCTATTAAGAACATCAAATAAATAAATTTAATAATAAAAAACTATAAATATATAAGATAACATTTATATAGCGTACACTTTTTCTAGTTTTTATCAACAAACTCATCAAAAATATCTAAAAGAATGGAAGGCGAAAAATTAAAATCAATAAAACCAGCATAGCGGTTAAAATTCATATAGTATATATATATATAATATAGTAATTAATATATAATAATTACATTAATATATAATAATTACATATATTTAATCAATAGTTATTAATTAAAATCAATGTTATTATTGTTAATAATTACATCAAATCAGATTAAAAATCTATCTGGAAAATCAAGTCCGATGTAATAAGCATAGGGAATGATG